TAAATGGATCCCTCGTTTCCTTACTTGCCGTATGCCTACACGAGGTTTGAGCGTGCGCCCAGCCAATGACTTAGTTGGCTGCACAATGCCTTGGAAGCTCCTCTGGATGGCTCAGGTGAGCGGAATATGAGTTTGACTCAAAGGCAAACAACACCTGGAACCCCGAAATCGGGTATCTTGAAAACCTGTTAAAACCATCCAAAATGGGCACCCGCCAGAAATGACATCCACATAATATAAGAATCACTGCAAGGTCAGCAAAAAGTAAAAAGGCTGCTCTGAATGCAGCGCAGCCCTCTCCCTTCCGTCCCCGCCGCTCAAAAAGACGAAACACACGCTGCAAATGTTGCACTTGAGACGTGCTAAGTGTAATTGCCAAGCAAAATGACAAAATGTCTCTGCCGGGATACGGCCAAGTTACCTTGAGTTAAGTGTGCACATGCAAATCAGACTGGCTTGTGTGTAAAGTCATACTCATCAGCCAATCACAAGGCACGCTCGTTGATTCTTGCGATTCCGCTCTGTGACCCAGTCGAAAACGAACCCTGAAATACAACACAGGGCTTTCACGCACATACACAATGTGGCCGCTGACAACAAGCCATGTGCGGAACGCAGGTTCATTTGTAGCATCTCATCTACCTCTGAAAGCTGCGTTGCAACATGCTGAAAAGCCTGCCCTGTGTACATGAATTGCCAGAACATTCCCTTACCCCAAAAATTGGCCATAGTTTTGTCGGTCTCCGGACCTCCACGCAAACATCAGCAGCACCTTTGGCCATCTGCTTGTGATAGCGGTCGTTGCAGAACCATCCATCGCCCGTTGAGGCTAGGGCCCCAAAGAGAAGCGACCTTGCACAAAAAAGGCTTTGCGATTTTGAGGGTCCTTTAACGGCCAAATCCATTTTGGGGCTCCAAATCCATTTGGGGGCACCCTTTTCAGATTGGAAACCCAGGGGAAAACCAAAAGACAAACCGAAATCCGCTTGAAGGTCCCACCTATGTTGATGGGCAATCCCCACTTTGCCCAAAAAAAGCGGCGCCCTTTTGGAGGGTCCACATCCTCCCTACGAGCAACGCCTGGTCTTGGTGCAAGTTTGCATGCGTGTTTTGACAGAGGCACAGAAGAGTTTCCCAAAAAAGATCAGCTTTGTTTGGGGTTGTTCTCAAAGACGACTCCAAAAAGACACATGCACGGAAAAAGACACAGCCTTCTCCCTGAAAAGGGGGGGGAGCAAGCTGATATCTCGAGCCGCATAACTCCTCTGCCTAGGATCCAACCACAGTATGGCTGTGGCTCAAAAAATGGAATCCCCAAAATGGCCCCAAAATAGTGAATGGAAACAAATGCCAAACCTGCGCCACCCCTTGCATCCAAATCAGCTGGCAGAGCTGAGTTTTTGTTCGGCTTAACGTGCAGCCCTGAAATTCTGCCGAGAGAGAAACACCCATGCCCCAGCAAACGGGATAGATGTATCGGCCAGGGGTCCCGACTTCGCTTGGGACCACAAGTCCACACGGACGATTGCCAAAATAGGAAAACATTGAAGTACCACAACACCTGGTCAAAATTACCACCCCCAGGACATGGGACAGGGTTTGTGAGAGCCCTGCTGGTTCTCACGAGTTGTTTTTCGAGCTCGGCCCCAATTTTCGAGATCATTAGCTTTTTTACCCGGACCTCATCTGCCAGCCGCTACCCGTCTAACAAACAAGCTACAGGAGAACTCCTACGAAGGGTCTTCCGTGTGCGTTGGGTTAGTGTTTGGCAAGTCCTACTGTGGGTGGACGAAATCCTGCACCACCTAAGAAGTCCTAGAATGATGAGTCCCCTGTCAATGCCAACAAACAAATGGTTTCCCATGGCTTCAAGGTGGTGCGAACGGATTTCGCCCACAGTATGGACATTCCTGGCTTCTCTGCATGGCGCTCGATGGCAGGCTCCGCTTTGTCCATAAAGACCTCCGTGGCCACCACGACATCTTCCTCGCCCTTCCGCAGCCGCCAGGCGCTGGAGGACAGCTCCTCCACGACCTCGACATCTCGACGTCAACTGAGCCCATAGGGAACCGCAACCATGATCCATAGGGGTACCCAGACAACTTTTCGGGGTGGTTGTTGTCTCTCAGCACCAAGTTGGTCTTTGAGTTTGATACCCACCCACTCGTTTCTTCTTGAAGGCGAATGGCTTTCACGTGAAGCTCCTATCTCGCATCGTCACTAAGCATCCAAAATGCATCTCTTAGGCTTGAAGCTGGGAAGGGGGAAACCAAATTTTGAATCCACCGGAAATCCGAACCCCTCCGCGCCTTGCTGCCTTCCAGCTTCTGGCGCAGCGCTGCCCGCTCCGCGGCGCAAGCGGATGCGTCCATGGCTGTTAGGCTTTGGCTAGGGAAATGAAAGAGACACCACCAAGCTTTTTGGGTCTACTTTTACCCCCATTCTGGAACAAACCTTTTCAGCTTGTGTCAGAGGGAACTCGGCGCAATCGCGAGCCAGC